CCAGTATCTGACTGTTTCAACCTAAACGTCGTCGTAACATCCGCCTTCTATTATTACATTTGATCTACAAATCTAATACTCATAGACTTCTATTGGAACTAAAAGTCGCCACAACAATCGAATAGAACTTTTCGTTTGTGAATAGACTTTCGAGACCCAATCACAACTGGCAGATAAAACTAGCCATTATAGGCGAAGCGCTACTTAAGTGTTGCCAGTAGTATAGTGAGTATTTCACGGCATGACAACGATATGCAGTCTGCGAGGCACATATATCAAAGCGGAGCTCATTGGACAAGTTTGATAAACAAAAGTCAGTATGCCTTCATTACGACTGACATTGTGCTCCTGCATTATTTGTGCCACTCGGAGGGTGTATTGTTGACCTGTAGCTTTTTACCGTCGAAAATGTGTTCATTAAAGACCCCTCCTGCCCAACTCTGCTTCGGCACATCTGACAAAGCACTGTCTCATGCTACTGCAAATGCTAAGTGCTTTTCCAATCAGCGTCTATTGCTTACCTTAAGTAGGGAGGGTTAGCATATTTTGTGTCGGCCAATGAAAATGCCTTTTCAGACATGCAGACCGAGACGTGCTACAACCAGTTGAATACCATCTGCACACTTTCACTCCCTCAGCCCCTATACAGACATTTGGTGGCACCATTCAAGACCCGACAGAAGGTCCCCGGCTCCAGTCAATGGCGCCTAAAGTTCCGATGCGGTCGTCTATCAGCCGAAGTCAGTTCTTGGAGCACGTCAAGGAGTACGACTTTATCCGACTCACCTTTTCCGACTTGAACGGCCTCCACCTGACAAAGATGGTGCCCGTTCGGTACGCCGAGAAAGTGGCCGCCGGCAAGTCGGAGATCTACGCTGGCGTAATGACATTCGGACCGAGGAACGAGGTAAGTCACCAACTATTCGTGCCCTGTTCAGGTCGGACGGAATTCCGACGAGGCGACCCTGTCGAATCTCGCCTCTGGCGACTTTAGAAGTATTCCGGCAGAAGTATTGCCTAAAATCACGTCAACGGCAAAACCTGAGTGCGGCACATTCGAATCAGACATTGAGAATGTGTAAGTCCCATCGAAGGGGTTGTCTGGACGTGTATTCATTTGTCCAGATCTGGTTCATACAAAA